TTTTAATCATCATTGAATGAGGGGCAGAGCTGGTCATTAATCTTCCTGCTCAACCAGAAGCCTGTAAGGGCAGAGGTAAGACTAAAACTTAGGTCTTCTGACTCAGTCCAGGGCTCTCTCTGGTGTGCTCCAGGTTCTGGTTCTGCTTAGCCAGTTATGGAGCAGATAGAATGTACTTGGCTGCTGCAAACTCATAAGGCCCTGACTGAGAACTGGAGGTAAAGGAAGGTTGTGCTCCCAGAATGGAATTCGGTCGTGCCTCAAGCCAGGCAGCGTTATTTCACATCTTCTTCTTCTGTAAAGTGGGAGCAGAGCCTACTGCTGAGATCAGGGATTGGGGTGTGGTCAGCTGGGATGAGGGATGATGGATGATGGATCTATGTTCAAATCATGGAATCTTAAGGGTTAAGAGCTGGAAGGAACCTCCAAAGGGGATCTGGGGCGACAGCTTTCTGCAGCAGTCTGTGGTGACAAGCAGCCTTCTGCGGTGGTGGTTGCACGGGCATGTGACACTCCCTACAGCCGGAGGACAAAGGTTTCCTCTTAGCACTGAGCTTCCTGCCTTTGGAAATGTTCAAGCTGAGAAGAATGTTCAAGCAGTGGGGATTCTGCTTTAAAGCGGCGGCGTACGTGTGCACAGAAGGGTGGTCAGCGGGAGACCACGGCTTGCAGCTCCTGCTCCACCTTTTTCTGGTATCCGCTGGGCTGAGCTGGCAGGGCTGTTGTGCAGTGTTAAGAAACATTCTACGTCAAAAATCTTGAACTGGGCAAACATCACGGATTTCTGAACAAAAACAACCGACACCATCTACTGCTGACCTGTTACAGGCACTTTACATACTAAATTATCTCATGTCATGTCTAGAATCGTGGGAGGTGGGTTGAACGATCATAATCTCTCTTAGGTAAAGAAACAGAAGTTTAATATTTAGTCCATAGTCTCGGAGGGGCAGAGCCTGGGTCAACTTCAGTTTTTCGGATTGTCTCTCAGCTTTTTTTTTTCTTGAGTCCAGGAGGCTGCACGGGACTCAGCTTCCAGCCTCCGCGGAGCTGGAGGGCTAGAGGGTGGGAGGCGGGGCCCCGCTCCGCGCGGCGGTGGGCGGGGCCTCCCGGCCCAGGGCGGGGCCAGAGGCCGCCGCGGGCCGGAAGTGGCCCGCGGACGGAGACTGAGTGGACACCACGTCCTGACACGGTGCTCCAGTGCCTGCGGCAGCGGCCTAGCCTAGATACTTAAGAACCCCCCACTCCCGCCGCGTTCTCGCCGCCACCGCCACCCGGGACTATGGTGCCTCGTCTGTTGCTGCGCGCCTGGCCCCGAGGCCCCACACTGGGCCCAGGAGCTCCCTGTCGGCCCCTCAGCGCCGGCTCCGGGCCCGCCCAGTACCTGCAGCACAGCATCGTGCCCACCATGCACTACCAGGACAGCTTGCCCAGGTGAGCCCGGCCTCCGGGTCCCCGCTGCCCGCCGCCATCCCGACAACAGTCACTTAGGACTCTGCTGCTGAACTTGCTGCCGCCCCCAAGTCCCTACCTTGGACGCTGCCCCATCCCATGATCTGGGAGACCTGTGACTTTCAACATTCAGACACAGGGACCACAGAACCCTCAAATTCTCTTCCAGAATCCCCTGTTGCTTTCTCAGTTCCCCGTCTTGAACCCTTCTCAAATTTGCTCTCCATTAACTTCCAACCAGATATCCTGAGTACTTGACATTTCTCCCTGAAAAATCACCACCACCCTAACCCTTCCACATGGGCTGTCCTCTGAAGTACTTTAATGAGTGCGCCGCATTCCTGCCCAGAATACTGGGTGGGCTAATTCCTGACACATGGTAGTTACTCTCCCGCAACTTCTCCCAGTACCACCGCCTTTACCCCTGTTACTCGGTTGGGCCCACCCGCCTTCCTCGCAGTCCCCGCAAACACACCCCCTTACGTGTTTACCCTTATCACAACTTACTCTCCCCCGTGTCCTTTCTACCAAACCCGCCTCAACAGATTCCTCCCCCTAAAATATCTTCCTCGCTCACATTATCCTGTGTAGCTTCAGCCCACTCTCAGTACTCTGCCCAGACTCTTACCAGGACCCCCCAAATTATCTGCCCTCCCATTCACCATAGGCTGCCCACTTTTGAAACACTTCACTCAGAATCTATTTCTCGTGTGAAAATAGCCCTAGTAAA